TACTTCTTTGCCCCTAGCAATTTTTTTCCTCCCCCCTTCTACAATGCTATTGACACTTCAGGGACCTGACCTTTTCTCCGTGTTGGCACTTGGGGTAAATCATCCTTTAAGAAAATGTTTCCTGGAGCTGTTACGTGCCTGGGAGATAATGAATATGAAGTTTAAGTTTTGCTTGCATGGTGCTGCAGCTGATCAGACAGGTAAGTGTCAGCCTTGGCCCAAAAAGCTATGTGCAGGTGTTTTGGGTTTGTGTGTTGGGGTTTTGGTAGTGGGGAAGGGTTTGCAGGGGTGGTTCCTGTGAGAAGCTGCTAGAAGTTTCCCCAGCTCCATGTCGGATCCACCGCCGGCCAAGGCCGAGCCCGTCAGTGATGGTGGTAGCGCCTCTGGGAGAATGTACTTGAGAAGGGAAACCTGCAGTTTGTAGGGGGACTGGAATGTGAGAGGAACCCCTCTGGGGATCCCGAGGTCAGTGAGGAAGGAGGGGAGGAGGGGATGACCCCGCAGCCCATGGTGAGGTGGCAGGCTGTCCCCCCCCAGCCCATGGGGGGGAGCGGGGGAGCGGAGGCCCCTCAAGATGGCCAGGCCTCCATGGGAAAGCCCGCGCTGGAGCAGTCTGTGCCTGAAGGACTGCAGCCCATAGAAGGGACCCACGCTGGAGCAGTTGGTGAAGGACTGCAGCCTGTGGGAGGGACCCCACGGTGGAGCAGGGGACAAGTGCAGAGTCCTCCTCCCCCTGAGGAGGAAGGAGCGGCAGAGACAAGGGGTGAGGAACCGACCCCAACCCCCATTCCCCGTCCCCCTGCACTGCCGGGGGGAGGTGGAGAAATCGGGAGTGGGGTTGAGCCGGGAAGGAGGGAGAGGTGGTGGGAAGGTGTTCTAAGGTTTGGGTTTACTTCCTAATATCTTTGTTTTGATTTGATTGGTAGTAAATTAAATTGATTTTGTTTCTTCCCCAAGTTGAGTCTGGTTTTGACCCATGACCATAAGTGGCGAGTGATCCCTCCCTGTCCTTGTCTCGACCCACAAGATTTTCCTTGTGTTTTCTCGTCCCCATCCCACTGGGGGTGAGGAGTGAGCGAGCAGCTGCCTGGTCCTTTGTTGCTGGCTGGGTTGAAACCATGGCAGCAGGAAAGGGGCCTTCACTTGGGTGAAGACTTGATTTAAATTTTAAAAAGGAAACAAACAAAAAAATTGGGTATGTGATGCTGGTGTGGCAGTGTGGCCAGCCTAATAATAGGTGATGTTTACACTGTGGCAAGCAGGAAAAGGCATTTAAATACAGAGAGGGACCTTGGGAATCTCCTTGAAGGAGAGAATTTTTTTTTGGCATCTATGTCAGTAGTACATGTTTTGGCCATGTTCTAGGTACACATAACCTGGGAGAAAAGGTTATGTAGCTCAAGCTTTGATTGAAGATGAGTGTACATGAATGCATGCGTTCTGGCATGAGGTGATTATGTTAAACCTAACTAGTACTAAAGTCATGAATGTAGAATTGGGTTGAGCTACTGACAAAATAATATTTCTCTGCACCTTTTCCCTTCTGTGCATCAAATGGGAAATAGTACTTTCCTTTTTCACAAAGCAGTGGAGGTGTAAGTTATTAGTGTGAAGTATCTTAATACAATTTATAGATAATGCTCTTAAGAAATTTTCTTCTGTACTTCTGTACTGTACGCTGCTAGTGTAGGAGTTGCCATAACACAGCAGAATATTGATGTGTCTAATCCCCTCCACTCTGCATCTGGCAGCAGCCATTAGCTAGTACTCAGGAAAGAGGTAAAAATAGGTTAAAAATCACCAAGTAGTCCAGTGCTTTTTTACACAGGAGATAAAAATACTTTTATACTCTTGAAGCAAGTTGCTGTTCTTGGCCTAGTTAGCAGATCTGCAAACATTACTTCTGCTAAACTGTGAATGTAGTTAACTAATCTTTCTGGGGGTGGGGGGGCAAATCCATAACTACCTCTTGCCCTGACCAGATTTCTTGTGTGTCTTCAGAGACCAATTGCTTTGAACTTCTGTCTGTTCCCTTGTGTGTTTTCTTGCTCTGCTATGTTCCATGTATGCCATCCCTCCTTTCCCTTCTATTTCTTTATCCCACTCCTAATGTGGTGTTTTTGGAAGTGGATTAGTCCTAATTTTGTGATATTCAGTCCCTTTTCTGGCCCAATGTCTTTGTAAATGGATCATAGGGAGATTTCAGGAGGGAAGCATGGATTTTTCTGCTACTCTAGTGGTACAAAAGGATGTCAGTCCTAGATGTCCATTAGATGTTACTGTAATGAAAATGACTAATCACTTTGTAGTGACAAAAAGATTTCTAGCACTACATGATTAATCTTCTGTTTCAAATTCTTAATTACATCAAATATGCCCACTTCTAATATGGGAAACTTAGTTTGTCAAATACTTGGGAATCTGAAGCTTGTGGACATCTAAAGATGCTTTTCCTCATGAATGAAGATTCTAGCAGAATACTTAAATTAAGAAGAAAATCAGTATCCTTATTAATGAAGGAGATGCTGTTCTTGCAAAATCTCTAGCCAAAACCAGTCCCATAGAGTTCAGTGGGATTACATGGGTGAGTAAATGCAGCAAAGTAAAGGGAAAGAAATGACTGAAAACCACATTATTTGAATTTCTTTTTAGTTGAGGTTGAGAAATTCTGCTTTTCTTTAGGTGGGGATAAGGGATGGAATATGAAATGCACGCTTTGATTAATCCACTAAATCTGAACACTGAATTTAGGTCCAGTTCACATCTTGGTGCTGAAAGTGCAGTGAGTCTACTGCAGGGTACATGCGTTATGCTTATAACAAAAGTCTATATGCTAAAGCAATAACAAGATCTCATCACTTGGTTTTCTCTTTGTTTCTACCTTATGCATGTACAGACTGACCAAACAGATCTGGAAATATACCGGTGTTTTGAGATATCCTGGTTTGGTGATAGGTTAATACCTAAGGAAGCATGTAACTGCATGTCTCAAGAGTCGAGTGAAGTTCTTAGAAAAGATGTAAAAATAATAGATCTCTATGCACATGTTTTTAACTTGACTGCAGATGCAATGATCCCAGACTTATTGCCTTGATTTGCCCCCACCCCCGGGATTACCTGTGCCTGTCCCAGTTCCCTGCTGTTAGAGACACTTTGCTATTGCTCTCATCCTGTGGCATCTGAGCTTTCTGTCCCAAAGGGTAAAATGCAATCCTGTGAATTGGAGCTAAACAGAGATTTTAAAAATCAAGATGATGCATGTGATACAGGCTTTGGAACAGGCTGCCCAGGGAAGTGGTTGAGTCACCATCCCTGGAGGTATTCAAAAAGGGCGTAGATGAGGTATTCCATAACATGGTTTAGTGGGCACGGTTTATGGTTGGACTCAATGATCTTGAAGGTCTTTTCCAACCTAAATGATTCTATGATTCTATATGATCATGCACAATCTTCATATATCTTCTCTGGGAGCATGTGTCTGATGGATGAAGGTGTCTGGGTTTTGTAAAGCAAGTGTTATTTGTGGTCTCAATTTGTTGCACTTGATCTTGGCTCTGGCTTCACAGCTGTTGGCACTGCAAGGCTGTTTGGGAGAGCCAGTCTGGGTAGAGTTTCTTCTGGGAAGAAGCAGGGGTAGAACACAAGAGCCAGGGAGTGTGTAGCAGCCAGATAGTGCAGCTTTGCATTTCAGGTACGTGTCTGTTATGTGATTGACATCACTCCCACTGTACTTCTTTGTGAGCAGAGAGTAAAGCCGGTGATCTACATATTTAATTGATCAATCTGTAAAGCAGATGAAGCTGCATAATTGGTGTTACAAGTTGTTAGTTCAGTGTTGGTGCAGACGTCAAGGGAAGTGTTCATCTTGTATTACAGAAGTAAAAGACTGGGTTCAAGCAACAGTATCTGAAGGCACAGCTCTATTTTGGCTGTGGGTGAGGTCTGATTTTTTTTTTTCTTTTTTCTTTATCATAGTCAGTGAATTTGACTCTCTCTCCTAACCCTGCTTGGCATTGAGACTTACAGGGCAGCTTATTTGTGTTAAATAGAGCTTGAGGGATCTGAGGCAGGACTGGAGGAGGAACACTGCTCGAATGTTCCTTTGTAAACTGGCAGAAGAGTTTTTGCTGTTAACAAAAAGTTGCTCTGGATTTGTGCAGCGCCGCTGCTATGGAAATAAGCTGTGGCTTTCTGAGCATGGAACAGAAGAAAAATGCACTTTGCACACTGACTCTTCTGAAATGGTTCATTGAAGTGCAGTGATTTATTTAGCAGTAACGCCTTTCGGAACGTGATAATAAAGTTGCCTGAACAAGGTAACGTGTGTGTTTTAACCCCAATTTGAGGAGAATCCGAATCAACATTCTCTGCAGCGGGGTACTGGCGCAGCGTGTCATGCCTGTTACAGTAAGGTTGTAATAGGCTGTGAGAGCCGAAGCAGAAGGAAACGGTATCTGAACAGACAGGCTTTGCTACAGGCTTCGTGACAAAGAAACACAATAACAAAGCAAGCGATAAGTAAGATAATTCTTTTTAGGAGTGGAATAACATCGCGCTCGGTGAACTTCAGCCATCGTTCCGTTGGCTGCGCTCCCCACCAAGCTACGAACGCTTTGAGCGGGGGGGTGGAAGGGGCCGGTTCCCCGTCTCTTTGCCCCTCCACGCCCCAGCCC